CCGTCGCTGGCCGGAGCTGCGCCAGAAGGAGCCCCTTCCTTCCCAGAGCCACGATCTCCACATCCAAAAGGCTCTTCCCAGGTAAAGGAGAGAACAATTACTCCTTTAAAGACGAGACATGCAGAGCCCATTTCTGAAATCTTGAGGACCCTCCAGTTTTCTTGTGGCATCCCCTGCCTGCAGGACATCCATTGCTGCCAAGAACAGGGATGGGCTCGGAAAAGCTAAGTGGTCTCCAGGCTGCTTTTCTGATGCGTGCGCCATCCATCGTAAAAAAAAGTCATAAAGCTATCTACGAACGCTACAGTGGGATCCCTACACAATCTGCTAAAATATAAACATCTTACAACGCTGCTTTCCAGAACCACGCAGGGAAATACCCCTCTCAAACAAAGACTGCAGGCGGGATGCAGCACGGCAGAATTAGGTCGTTGGAATCAGGCTGGAGTCTCCCTGCAGACTAAGGATGCCAAAAGACTTCCTAACTCCTCTGCTCGACGCCTCTACGTTCCGACATATCCGAAAGAGAACCGTAACGGAGCCCGCGCAACTTTGTGCTGTCGCATGTCTGCTTTCTATAAAGAAAGGAGAGTCCTGCCTATCGCCGTGTCACGCAGTATTTTGTATTTACTTCGGAAGCCCTGGGAAGCTGAAGGGGAGGATGAAGGGGAAAAAAAAAAAAGTATAAACCATGTTTTATAAGCAAAGTTTTAAAGGTCCCTTAGCAGGCTTAAAAAAAAAAAAAAAAAAAAAGGATGACCATCCGAACCCTGCTCAGCACAGCCAGGCTGCTCCAGGCCAGGCAGCAAGAGTGAGAATTGATGAGCAGGCTCTCGCCTGGCAGCAGCGCGCGTTCGCCGCAGGGCAAACAAATACAGTAGCCTCCTTTTTGCAAGGATTTCTCCTGAGCAGAAGGCTTTTGATTACAGCTTCTGGGATGAGAAGCAGAAAGCTTGCCCCACGCACGCAGACGACCGGGACGCGCGGGGGGGAAATGCCACCGCGCCGAGGCGGTGGGACGACGGCGGGAC